GGATTGAAAATAGTGTCCTGACTCAGAGTAACTCCGCACGAACAGACATGACTGAAGTATGTAAACGTTACAGTCGATTCCTGGACGAACTAGGATTGATTGGTCATGTTCAGAGGTCCTTCACGGTGAAGCAACGCCTCATGGAACACTTCGGCGACCGCTTGCAGTTCCATCAGCCGCTTGAGACAGACATGTAAATAGTTTGGTTGTCTTTTCACTTGTATTTAATTATGTCGGCTCAGAGTCATTGCCACATTACACGACTCGAAGTTTTTGACAGCCATGCCACAGATTCACATGAAAATCAATTTGATTGTATTTGTACAGTTGCTAGCACTGACCTTGCAAGTCAACCTAAATTTTATATTTTCCTTTTTTCCCAATGTAATCAGCTGAATGATGTTTTATTGCCACCAGGGAGTCGTACCGGGGGGGGGGGGGGGGGGGGGGATACCCTCCCTGACTGCCACCAACAGAAGTCTAAAACGGACTCTGTATGCAGAAACCCACTACATGTATACTCTAGAATGACTGGGTTCGAGTACATGTACAATTTCCATATGCAGCGGAAGATCGCTATATCTAACAAACGGACAACTGTACAGACTTGCCAATACTTTTATCGTCTTCAGCAGCCACAAATTAGTTGTAGAGATGTCTAAAAAAAATGGTGAGAATGCATGCGAATGGATTCATGAATCGATTCAAGTGCATAATCGAACGCATGCAGCCACTGTACTCTAAAATGACTGGGTTAGAGTATATGTACAATTTCCCTATGGAGCGGAAGATCGCCGTATCTAACAAACGGACAACTGTATAGACTTTTATCGTCTTCAGCAGCCACAACTTAGTCAGTGTGGTATACCCGTGTACATCGTACATATTTGCACTCTCATGTTTCTTATTATGCTACTGCATCTCCTTGCATGGACGTGCGTACAACCTTACAGCATACTACTCATACTATGCATGCATGTATGTACTCCGTGCCCACAATCGACACTGCATGTCTCTTGTTGCTGTTCAGTCTTTCCTTGGTAGTTTCCTGACGAGTCGTCCTCTCTCAGTCCTTCGTTGCATTATTCTATTTCAATATAACTAATCATCACATAGACTTGATGATACCACATGGCGCAGTGAACTTGTTTCAGTAGCAGTTTCCGTTAATCTTTCTCAGTCCTGGGTCTTGCTAGTACCTCTGGCGTTTCGTCTCTCAAATATAGTGAAATAATTATTTGAAATTTCCGTTTCGGCATGGCGGAATCAGACACACAAGTACTGAACCCTGACATTGCTGCCCTCACCCAGCTCATGAGACAGCAGATGGAGACCGCCGCCACCCGCGAGCAACACCCAACACAGCTCGTGGAGCGAACTTTGAGGAGCATTTCTCAACCTCCACGACCACACCGTCCACCCCCAGCCCCACCGGCACGAGAACATGTACCTCCGGCGAGACCAGTTTCAGTCCATCGCCCTCTGTTACTTGCCTCTGCCTCTCTCGCAGAGTTTGCCGCATGGGAAGGTCTTTGGCGGGACTACGCCCGGTGCCAGCACCTGGATTCCCAGGACAATGCCACCAGAGTGGCAACGGTTCGTCAGTGCCTGGACGAGGGCCTCCGGAGATTTTTTCGTGAGGGCACAATTCCTCTGGCTGACAACCACGACGACGACGATCTCATCAAGGCTGTACAGGCATACATTCGCGGCCAGCGGAACCCTCTGCTGGACCGGATCGCCTTCTATGCCCGCCAACAGCAGCATGGAGAGTCTTTCGATCACTCCCTGACTTCCCTCAGGGAGATCCACAATTGCTGCGATTTCAGCGAAGCTGCACTCTGCAACTTCTGTTCAAGCAGAGTATGCCGCCAATGCCAGCACGGACAGCGTACCAGGCACGACGAGACCATGCATGATCGCCTGGTTACTGGCATTCTCGACACGGAGACACGCCATAAACTCCTTGCCACCACCGATCTAACGTTGGAGAAGGTCATTAAATTGTGTCGAGCAGAGGAGGCAGCCTCTCGGACGAGCAGCAGTATCCCTGGCACTAGCTCCGTCAATGCCGCTCGGAAAACAAATTATCAGCGGTCTAAACACGGCAGTAACCCGCGACAGCAACAGCCGTCTGCCACGCCATCGAAATGTCCGAATTGTGGTCGCACTCCCCACGCCAGCAAGTCGCAGTTTCCTGCACACGACAAGAAGTGTAGCGGCTGCAAGACTATTGGACATTTCCAAGCGGTGTGCAGAATATCCCGCAAACCGGCTGACCAGTCCTCGCAGCGCACGCTGGGACGACTACAGCTCCACCGCGCTGAGTGTGATGCATCTCCTACGGTGCCAGTCGACACGCATTTGTGCACTGAACCTGACGCTACCTCCCTAGAATGGATCCCCGATACGGGAAGTGACATTGACGCTATTGGCGTCGATCAGTTAGCGCATCTCGGTGGTTTTGTGGAGAATCTGGCCACAGACCATGATAATGTGCATGCTGCCAATGGCGAACGTCTCGTTTCAGCTGGCAAGATCTCTGCCACTCTCACCATCGACTCGCTCAAGCATGATAGCACCATCCATGTGTACCGTGGACTGCGTGAGAAACAGCTCTAAAAAATGTGTGAGCTCCTATAGGTTACGAGTTTCTAGAAAATACCACCTTGGACCTTAGACTATCTGTGTGGATGTGCTTGCGTCGTCACTCACTGCGGGAATCCAGACCACTCTAGACAAACATGCTCCACTTCGGGAACGGCACCGCAAATCTCGACGTCCTTGCCCCTGGATTACAGATGAGTTAGTCGCAAGTGTTCGTGAACGGAACCGGGCGCATCGTCTCTGGCTCCGAGACAAAACCGATCAGAACCTTCAAGAAGCACACCGATCAGCTCGCTCCAAAGCACGGAAGTTGGACAGGAGGCTGCGCAACTTGTACTTCGCTGAGAGATGTGATACATCAGATCAACGGCAACTTGGGGCTGTCATGAACGATGTCACAGGCCTACAGAAGACACGGAAAGAACCTGAAGCGCCGCTTGAGTCACTCAGTAAATTGTTCGGAGACATTGTGCATGACCCTATGCGGCCACCTGAGCTGCATATACCACATGGTCCAGCCTCTCCATCTAGCTTCTCAACATTTCAGCTGGTAAGCGTGTCTGATGTTGCACAATGCTTGCAAACTGTGAGTCCTCACAAAGCATCTGGGAGTGACAAAATTCTTGGAATTGTACTGCAGCAGTATTCAGACGTCCTGGCACCTCCATTTACCACCGTAGTCAATGCATCCTTGACATCAGGAACTGTGCCAGTGTGTTTTAAAACATCACACATTCACTGTTCAAGAGTGGCGATGCAACATCCCCTACTAGCTATAGAGCATTGTCATTGCTCCCTATTCTGTCCCGGATTTTGGAGTTCTTTGTAAAGAAGCAACTCACAGCACACCTCACGCAACATAGCATATTACCTAGCAGTCAGTTTGCCTACAGGAAAATGCACTCTACCGAAGATGCATTAGTTCTAGCCGCCAACCGTTGGCTGTTGGCCAAACAAGAGCGTAAAGAAACAGGTATTGTGATGGTTGACATGTCAAAAGCGTTTGACCGTGTCCAACATCAACGTCTGATTGATAAACGATTCACCCTGGGAGTCAATGGCAGCGTATTGTTATGGTTGGCTAGCCTGGTCCTTCTCAGCGTGTCAAGGTGTGTGAGGCTCTCTCTGATGCAGTCCCATGCTCAAGAGGTGTGCCCCAAGGCAGTGTTCTTGGGCCGCTTCTCTTTTTCCTTTACACGAGTGACATTTCCGACGTCATACCTTGCATTGTGGTTTATCAGGAGTTTGCGGACGACATCATCCTAGATTATTCTGATTCAGATCTAGACACTGTTTGCAAGACGTTGACTACGGCTGTGACACGTCTGTCTGACTGGCTCTCCGAAATTGGGCTTCTGCTGAATACTGGCAAAACCCAAGTCATGGTAATTCAACCTTGGGGACTCACTGGCAACATACCAGTCGTGAAATGTAAGGATCAAGCCTTAACTGTTACCTCCACTGCCAAATACCTTGGCGTAACCATTGATGATCAGCTATCCTGGCAGCCACATGTCTTCAGTGTTATGCAGAAGGCGTCAGTCGCCATCAGCCAGCTATGGCGCCATGGGCGATCTCTGCCCATAAGAGCCCGCAATGTGTACATTGGCATTGTGCAAGCACGACTAACGTACGCATCCAATTCATTCTTCCCGTCGCTCACACAGCAGCTGCAGAGTCGTTTAATAAAATCCAGCAAATCCGTAATTCGTGAAATTTTCTGACTCTCCAGCCGTGCATCCGCAGCCCCCCTCCTCGTGCGCTTATCTATTCGATCCCTAACTCACATTTTTCACTACAAGGTTTTGTTCTTTGTTTTCCGTTGCCTACATGATCTTGCAAGTCCTCTTTTCTGCACCTACTTTCAGTTGATGGCTAATACAGGCCAAGCATCCCGGGATGATCGCCGAATTACTCGAGGACAGGAACAGCGGCTACTGCAAGTGCCTTTCCTTCCTGGACCTTTCGGTCGTCAGTCATTGACATTTGTGGGAAGCACTCTTTCGAATGCCCTTCCCAGCGATATTCGCCTCCACAGTGCGGCCTTTGCCTTTAAACTGGCTCTGAACAGAATTAAATGTAATTTGTAACCAGTGCTAATCGCGCTCCTTCCTTGCTCGGCATCCCAACACATTACTGCATGTTTTCTCTGTGTGTTCTTCACTGCATGCTTACACACATACACCTATTTGAATTATATACATACTTTGTGCTTTGGAATTATCATGTTATGATTCTTTTTAATATTTCCTTGTCTCATAATATTATATTCGTTCCTAGCAGGAACCGGAGGTTTTTCCTCTGGTGAGAAGGCAGAATTGCCTGTGCTCTAAACGAATTCAATAAAAGAAAGAAACAAACAAACAGTGCTGTTGTACTGGCCCTGGTCATACCTTGGAATTCCTCTTCACTATGTCCGTGTGGGGCACTGGCTGCAGCAGCAGCAGCAGCAGCAACAGATGCAGCAGCGGTGGGGGCACTGCGAGGCACTTCTGTAGGGTTGATTAATTCCATCGCCGGCAAGGGGTGAATTCCATCGTCATTACCTGCCGGCAATGCCGGAGTCGTGATGTAAGGCCCACATTGTCTTGAACTAGCCATGTGCCTTGCCTCTCCAGACTGGTGACAAAAAACAACACGACACAACGACAAAGCACAAGATAGAGAACCTAGTCAGAACCCTGAAGAGAGAAAACCCAGAAAATACAATATTATAAGAAAGTCCACACAGTAGGCCTTGACGGATTATGCTAGCATAATTTTTCGCATAATTCCTACCAAAATCGAATAATCGCATAATTCGAGGCAAATTGCATACGAATCACATAAATTGGAATAATCCGCCTGTTCGCATCAAATTCCATACAGTTGTACAGTCATGTTCTACAAGTACAAGTAGATGCACCAGGAAGTCGTACGTTTACGACTCCCTTGATAACATGTCCAGTTCACTACAATCAGCGACGGTCGTAGCTAGGTCGGACGGTGCGTTGACCCCGTTGAACTTTTGCTACTACAGTACAACGCCCTCTACAAAAAAATTTCCCTGTTATTTCGCACAGAACCATTAGCAGCATATTATTATTATTATTTACTTGCATGTACGCGTTGGAGTCAACCATGCAAGCATGATCCACAACTTCGCTTATGCTGAACATGATAAACAGGACTATGAGAGGGGAAAAAAAGAGCTAGAACGATGATAATAATAATTACAGAGGCAGTATGACTGGCAATAATGAGGCAATAATATTATAATATAGCTATGAATAGGATGAAGGCCGCAGACATCACGCAACTACGTTACTTGTTTGACATGTATTACTGTGTATTTTATAACAAAAATATTATTGAAAACCCAGAATCGATTTTCTCTCTCTCTGTGTATCTACACTTGTTATCTCGTCCTGATTGTCTTGGTGTGTATGATGACTCTCATTTTTCTGTACTGTGTCGTGCGCGTTATGTCCAACAGTTGAAAGTCCTAGAGGCAGTTTGTATACGTATTCATAAGCCTGTTTTGTGTAAGCAAAAAGAGCACATTGTTGCACTGAAGTTGTATTCGTAGGTTGACACTTCGTTCAGTGCCTTCTCGCCTTTGGTTATGTAATCTTGTTACCCTTTTTTGCGTTTCCTCTAGTGGTTTTATTGCACTTGTATCTTGATGTTATTTCTAACACCTTTCTATTTACAGTACTTAACTTCAGTTTCTTTGGTTGTATCCTAAGTCCCGTTTTTTCCCACTGATGATAGGAACGAGAAAATCGATTCTGGGTTTTCAATAATATTTTTGTTATAAAATACACAGTAATACATGTCAAACAAGTAACGTAGTTGCGTGATGTCTGCGGCCTTCATCCTATTCATAGCTATATTAAAATTATTATCTCTACGTAGGTTATTTGTATACAATAATATTATCATAATATTATGTAGAAAGGAAAAGGACATATGGAAACGAGTTAAGAGTAACTCTCCACCACTGTAACTAGATACTATATACAGTCAGAAAGTGCAACAACTAGGCACAAAACTGACAGAGTACTGAGACATTCGACGTCCTGACACCTAGCTTCAACACATCTCCGTAGCGCTAACCGACAGCCTTCCAACTTGGAAGGTTCAAGGTTATGGAAAGACCAAAGAGGGGAAGGCAAGCGCAACGAAAACGAGCACAAGCTACAGTCCCAACGGAACAAAGAATGTCGATTGTCACTGGACGATGACGAGACCAGTAGGCGATTTGACAAAGTGGTCTAACTACAATTCGAAGCAGCAAAGCAGCACACCACCCAACTTGAGTGGGTCAAAAATATCAAAGATAACCTTGAACCTTCCAAGTTGGAAGGCTGTCGGTTAGCGCTACGGAGATGTGTTGAAGCTAGATGTCAGGACGTCGAATGTCTCAGTACTCTGTCAGTTTTGTGCCTAGTTGTTGCACTTTCTGACTGTATATAGTATCTAGTTACAGTGGTGGAGAGTTACTCTTAACTCGCTTCCATATGTCCTTTTCCTTTCTACTGTTATTATTGGCTCAATACCCAAGTTTCAAATAATATTATGTGTAATATTATAATATTATCATAATATTATGTGTAATATTATGTGAGCATAATGCGGCATAATATGATAACTTTTAGCATGAAAATAGCATAATTCTGCAATTTTTTCAGCAATGCGAAAAGCATAATTTCACGAAAATATTAGCATAATCCGTCAAGGCCTACCACACAGACACAACCACGCGCCCGCACACACGCACACAAACACACAAACACACACAGACTCGCAAACACACAACACACAGGCTCGCAAAAACACAACACACAGACTCGCAAACGCACACACACGCACACGTGTCCTGTCCTGTCCTGTCGAGCCACTACCACAAGTGTCATGTGGACCCCGGAGGGGCAACGAAGAGAGAAGAAGAGAACGCCGTCCCATGGTGACTTCATGTGCACCATCTAATGACATGGCGTCCTTTCATGCGGTTTACCGCACGGATTTATGAAGTCAGACATATTCCGATTTATTTGCATCAATCGCACAAAATTAGGTACATTTCTCTTGTAAACCCTGTCAGTTTGAGAATTTAGACAAACACCGAACAAATTTTAGCCGCGACGAGGATCGGGAGGAATCCATCATTATTTATTATTTACATAGCTACTACCATCACGTCGACCGAGTGAAGATCGAAATGATAATGGAGTGGAGAGAAGAAGACCTGAACTAGAGTGCTTGAGAGACTATGTAGTGTCACATGAGAATTGCTTCGTTAGGAAGGCTCTACTTTTGAATGGAGAAGCCCAACGTCGCTGATTTGCATCGCCGTTTTCAAGCGCTGATCTGCAGTCGGAATGGTTTTGTAAATTATTCGTAGTTGTGGACGTGGATGGATTCAGCGCTCTGTTCTCTCAGCAAGCCTACTCAGTCCAACACGAAGGACTTCCATGAGCGAAACAACGTGCTCCTCGAGCAAGTGCAGCTCGGGGTAATATGGCCAATGCCACGGGAGACCACCTCGTGCCTGCATAAGGCCAAGAATTGATGGCAAGACATCTTTGATGAGCGCCTTCGACTTCAAGGACGCAATATATCTCCTCAGCAGTAACTGCAGCGCTCTTGCTGAAAATATCACTGCAAGCATGCACTAGGCATGATTTAGTGAAGAGCTACTTGTACTAGCGATTGGAGATTTGGTGTTGGCTTACTACTACTACTACTACTACTACTACTACTACTACTACTACTACTACTACTACTACTACTACTACTACTACTACTACTACTACTACTACTACTACTACTACTACTACTACTACTACTACTACTACTACTACTACTACTACTACTACTACTACTACTACTACTACTACTACTACTACTACTACTACTACTACTACTACTACTACTACTACTACTACTACTACTACTACTACTACTACTACTACTACTACTACTACTACTACTACTACTACTACTACTACTACTACTACTACTACTACTACTACTACTACTACTACTACTACTACTACTACTACTACTACTACTACTACTACTACTACTACTACTACTACTACTACTACTACTACTACTACTACTACTACTACTACTACTACTACTACTACTACTACTACTACTACTACTACTACTACTACTACTACTACTACTACTACTACTACTACTACTACTACTACTACTACTACTACTACTACTACTACTACTACTACTACTACTACTACTACTACTACTACTACTACTACTACTACTACTACTACTACTACTACTACTACTACTACTACTACTACTACTACTACTACTACTACTACTACTACTACTACTACTACTACTACTACTACTACTACTACTACTACTACTACTACTACTACTACTACTACTACTACTACTACTACTACTACTACTACTACTACTACTACTACTACTACTACTACTACTACTACTACTACTACTACTACTACTACTACTACTACTACTACTACTACTACTACTACTACTACTACTACTACTACTACTACTACTACTACTACTACTACTACTACTACTACTACTACTACTACTACTACTACTACTACTACTACTACTACTACTACTACTACTACTACTACTACTACTACTACTACTACTACTACTACTACTACTACTACTACTACTACTACTACTACTACTACTACTACTACTACTACTACTACTACTACTACTACTACTACTACTACTACTACTACTACTACTACTACTACTACTACTACTACTACTACTACTACTACTACTACTACTACTACTACTACTACTACTACTACTACTACTACTACTACTACTACTACTACTACTACTACTACTACTACTACTACTACTACTACTACTACTACTACTACTACTACTACTACTACTACTACTACTACTACTACTACTACTACTACTACTACTACTACTACTACTACTACTACTACTACTACTACTACTACTACTACTACTACTACTACTACTACTACTACTACTACTACTACTACTACTACTACTACTACTACTACTACTACTACTACTACTACTACTACTACTACTACTACTACTACTACTACTACTACTACTACTACTACTACTACTACTACTACTACTACTACTACTACTACTACTACTACTACTACTACTACTACTACTACTACTACTACTACTACTACTACTACTACTACTACTACTACTACTACTACTACTACTACTACTACTACTACTACTACTACTACTACTACTACTACTACTACTACTACTACTACTACTACTACTACTACTACTACTACTACTACTACTACTACTACTACTACTACTACTACTACTACTACTACTACTACTACTACTACTACTACTACTACTACTACTACTACTACTACTACTACTACTACTACTACTACTACTACTACTACTACTACTACTACTACTACTACTACTACTACTACTACTACTACTACTACTACTACTACTACTACTACTACTACTACTACTACTACTACTACTACTACTACTACTACTACTACTACTACTACTACTACTACTACTACTACTACTACTACTACTACTACTACTACTACTACTACTACTAC